CCCATATTTCTGTCTTTGTCGATTTATCACCCAAGGCCAGCGAAATTGGATCGAGCGACATATATTCCATGCGTGTTGGGTGCGGGCGGTGGTACATGATAACCTGGACAGACAGGTTTGCCTCTGGAGGGCAGAAGATGCGAGGAGCTTTCGTGGATGCAATTGTAGTCACATCAAGGTGGGACGGGTTGAAAGACGTTGGAGACTCGGGAGAGTTGGTCGAGCCGAGGACATGCATCTGAGAGCGTCCACATAGAGTGAAGATGCGCACAATCGGGTGAGGGCTGTTTCGAAAGAGAATGCCCGCCCGGAGAGCATTGTCAACATTCCTAGGCTATCCAATCACAAGCATGATCAGTTTATATCGAACGAGTATACAAGGCAATTGCAGCCACCTACCTCGACATCTTCCAGCACTGTGAGCACAAACAAATCAAGCTCCGAGTTCCGCCATCCGACAATTACACCCGGGGACGAGGATCGTGGGAGGTCATATGGCCAAAATACCCGTAACAGTCCATCGCTCATGAGCATATTGTCATCCTCCACCTGAGTCTCAGAACGAACCTCGACGGCGCAATTGTTCGCGCGCGGAGACGCCGAGATTGACGTGGCGCGGATGCTATATATCCCCCAAAGCCGTCAGCAAATATTCCTTAAGCTAGCACCAATTTCTTTGATCTTTCAATCGTTGTCCAAAGCTTTGGTTGTTCCGGTGTTGCTCACCAATTGGCCCTCCTTGGCTGCGAGGTGATTAATCGGCAGGACGAGGAGGAAAAAGAAGACGGAAAGAAACAAAAATCCCTTCGCAGTTCGTGTCTAAAATAAAACAAATTAGCGGAGTTGCAAATATAATGTGGGATGGCACCAAGCTGATAAAGTCGCAAGCGGAGGGGGAGCCAAGGACCGATGGCCGATGGCCGATGGAAGACATACCACGACACCGTGATCCCAGGCGAAGATGGCCAATTCGTATAGACGGGTTACTAAGTCCCACCTGGCGGTAATATAGCCCGCGACGAAGATTCCAAGAGTGAGGACGGAAAAGGGGTGCATGAATCGATGTGGTTCAGGCCGTCCGCGTTTAGCTTGCGCGCATAGCTAGATGAGGTGGTCGAGGGTGGTTTAGAAGCACAGCGATAGGACAAGTCCAGGATTAGAAGTTTTTCTTGTAAGCTTGAGCCTCGAAGGAATGAATTGAAGATAATAAAAAGAACGACGACTTGGATTTGGGAATAAAGTTGCTTCGTCACATCCCGCGTTGATCATCTAGACCGACCTACACGTGACTGGCCTTTATATTAACGGAGTATACGTGCCACTACGTACCACTACGTCGGCAACCTGCTACTTTATAGGAGAGCTACAAGGAAAATCTAGAAGGGATTATAGTAGAAAATATAATTCTAGTTCATCTTTACATGTAAAAAGATGAGTACACAACAATGCCTTTTCAAACCCATGCCTTCCATGAACGCCAAACCCATGAACAGCTCACATCCTTAAAGAGCCTTGATACCCTGGAATACTTTATTTGCTTGTAATTTTTCATCAGCCTGAGCCAGATCACGCATGACCTGTCTCTTCTGCTCTGCCGTCATCTCTTTGCCCTCAGTTGCCGCCTTCCATTTCAGTAGCATTCCCTTGAGGAGCGCATTGCCCTCTTCCACCTCTTCCGGGGAGTATTTGTCAAGCGAGGGCGCAGAAAGCTGTGCCTGCCCACCTTCAGGTGTTGCCGAGGTGAAATCTTCAAGTTCCTCAGCCTTCTGACGGGCCATGTTGACAACCTTATCCGGGAAGCGCACGAGCTCGGCGACATGAATACCGAAAGACTGATCACAGATTCCTGGCTCCACACGGTACAGAAGGGTGACCTGGCGCTTTTTCTTTTCTTCAGTTTCAGCTTCACTCTCGCCCTCATTGCCGTTTCCAATAAAGGCCACGACGTGCAGGTTCTTGACGGCCTTTTCATATCGGTCTGCCAAGGCAGTGAGCTCGTGGAAGTGAGTTGCGAACAGGCCAAAGCAACGGATCTCAGTGACAATATGTTCTGAGATAGCCCAGGCCAGGCCGAAGCCGTCGTAAGTGCTAGTTCCACGACCGAGTTCATCGATGATAATCAGGGACTCCGAGGTGGCGGACTTGAGGATGTTGGATGTTTCGAGCATTTCCGCCATGAAAGTCGATACACCCTTGAGCTGCGAGTCGCTGGCTCCAACTCGAGCAAGAATGCAGTCGAAAATGGTCAGCTCGGCCTCGGTACAAGGGACGAAGCAGCCAGTCTGTGCCATGAGTGCAATCACACCAATCTGTCGGATGTATGTAGATTTACCGCCCATGTTGGGACCAGTGATGATGAGGAAAGATGATTCATCGCGAATCAGGGAAACATCATTCGTAATAAATGAGATATCGTCCTGCATCTCCATGCAAGGGTGCCGAGCTTCCTTCAGAACGGTGTTTCCAGTTCCCCGGGGGTGCATCTTTGGGCGAACGTATCCGGAAGGCGCATGCATCGAAGCATGGGCAAAGCTTACAATGACATCGAGGTGTGCCAGTACTCCAGCGAGTTGCTCCAACACAGGGCAATATGAAGCGGCAACGTTGACGACCTCGTTAACAAGACCGGTTTGGGTTCGGTTGTAGTTCGAGGACAGTTGGTCATGCTCTCGGCGAAGGGACTGCATGTTGGATGTGGTGAAGTATACGCCGTTCTTCTGCGTCGAACACTCCTGGTACTCTTTCTTGTTGCGAATGCAGCCCGCCTCATTTCGAGTGAGACGGAAGCACCAACCGTGCACACGGTGATTCTCCATAAAGAGCTTTTTCTCCATGTCTTGATTCAAATCTTTGGAAACTCGGCGGTGTTCCATATCCATGTCGTATCGCAGCTTGTCCAGCTTCTTTCTGATGATTCGCAAACCGTCATCGAACTCAGGTTTGATAATGAATTCGTGATTCTCCAAGGCAGCAAGATCCACTGTTGTTTCAACCATCTCCTCGAGCATGGCCAAACTGTCAGAATAGCCACGAAGCTTAGACGTGTATTCCGTCTCTAGAGGGGTCTGATACTGCTCGTCTATCACATCGCCTAGCGTGCTCACAAATCCAGGCAGACGAATGGAAACCTGGTATGCACGGACAACATCTTCCAAATTGGCCTGCTTCCGTTGGAAACGTTTAGCCAACCGGTAAAGATCCGGAATGGAGCGTAAATGTTCCTCTTGCATAGTCTGACGCAGCTCAGTGTTAACAACAAATGCCTCCACCAACTGCTGTCGTTGCTCAATCGCAGCCAGATCCATCAGAGGCTGCTTTAACCATTGAGCTAGCAAGCGACTCCCAACAGGTGTCTTGCAGTGATTCAGCAAACCGAACAAGCTCATACTCTTAGCCCCGTCCCGCGGACCAGGCATAAGATTTAGCGCCCGGAGCGCCGAGGCATCAAGCTTCATATACTGCGACAGGTCATGCTGGTAGAGCTGGTACTGGCCGAAGTTCGTAGGATCGGTCAAGACATTAAGATACTTGATCAGCGCCGACGCAGACCCCATAGCCAGTTTGAGTTCCGTCTGAGGCAGTGTACCGGCAGACCGCTCATCCCTCAACAATCTAGTAAGATCCTGCTCAATATCCTTAACACCGAAGTCGGCAACAGGTCTCTCGGAGATAGCAATCCCACAGCTATCGGCGATAGCCCGGATCTTCGCCAACTCGACGTCCTTGCGAGCCACGTCCATGGTTACAAGACACTCCTTCACACCGAGCTGAATAACTAACGACTCGAAATTGGAGTAGATATCGTTATCGAGGAATTCACTCACGCCCAGCTCGCGCACGCTCGCATCAGCAAAGCATACGCCGACATTCCGGGCCTCGGCTGCGCGAGCAGAGATCTTCACGGCAAGAATGATAGGCGAGGAATCCATTGACAGCGCGCCCACGCTGCCGAGCTCTTCTTCCACGTCCTGCAGGTTACCGGGACTGGCTTGTTTAGCCAGTTTCCAGTTGCTCTTGCCCGAGCCCGCAGAGGCAAAAATCTCGACACGCTTGTTCAGGCGGAAGAGGGCTTCACGGAGGAAGTTTCGGAAGACTGTGACGCTCATTGTGACCGAGGGGAGACCGCCTGTTTCGCTGCGGCCAAGGTTGCGCAGCACGGAGGTTGTTTTGTAGACGGTGCGTGCGATGAATTCGGCATCGGAGCCGTGCGAGGAGTACCAGTCGCCTCGGTCGAATACGCGGATGGTTTCATTATTATCGGGTGTAGGGAGGCCGCGGTAGAAGCCAATGAAGCCGACTTCGTCGTCGACCTGTATCGATTCAGTGTTTGAGTTAGTAGATGTTGTATTGGTGAATTTAGGGAATATTCAATAGATCAATCCATACCTTCAAGTCAGGTCGGGAAGACATGGTGTCGGTTGATGTGAAAAGAAATGCAGCAAAGGACAATGCAAATGCTGGTATCAAGGTGGTTTTGACGAGTCCAATTCGACGCGCTGCCAGAACTCGCGTGGTCCGTGCACGCGTCGCGCGTTAAGTGGGTGGGACCTACTCCGTACACCGTATTGCCAGGGGTTTAAAGAGCTTTCTTCAAACCCCAATTTTGGTGGGTATTTTTTTGGTTATACATAGGAAAAGTAATTTATATGCTTGATGCATCATATTGTCTTTTTATTTTTCTAGCCGTAAAATGGGGTAAAAGACATATAAAAAGACACCTAGGAAGACCACTAAAGAAACGAAAGAAAAAAACATTACAAGGGGAATCCGTATATACGTTTGACTCTTCTTGTAGTAATGATATTATGATTGGGTGTCCGAGGACCTAATTGCTAAGTACTACCTAAGGTAGTGGTTAATGTTAATAGACATATGATAAAGTACAGGGTATCGAGCGCTGATGCAAAACCGCGAGCAGACCGGCTCTGCGGATGTGAGGTATCCAACAATGAAAAACAAAGGAGTAAACCAAAAGAAAAGAAAGAAAAAAAAAACGTAAATCACAAGAGAGTAGTCTGCACACAAGACGCAGACTTCTCCCAGTCAGCCTTCAACTGGGCGGCTCTCGCCCCGATATCTTTGGCAGAGACATCTTTGCAAGACTTCAGCACGACCGACTTCATCTGGCCTACAGTAACCATACTGATCCAGTCACCAGCCACCTTTGTATCCGACAGAATCTCAAGACACATCTCCACCTCCTCACGAGGGATCTCGCTGCGGACCGAGTCACGGACATGTTCGACCATCACATCGAGCTTGAAGGGCTTGCGTTGGGCTGCAAGCATGGCTTTGATGCCATTTCCCACATACCCTGCGGGACGCAACAGGGCCAGGATCCCGGCTACTTCCTCCACCCGATCGGCGGCTGCACGTCGCACGAGTTCCTTCTTAGCAGGCGGGGGAGGGAGCTTGGACTGGCGTAGCTCCTTATTCTTAATTCGATCGAGCAGACTCTGGCGGCGGCTGACCGTTGCCGTCCGCTCCAGGGGAGTTGTCTCTGCTGACTCTGAGCGCATTCTCTCGGCTTTCAAGCGGAGCAGACCACCCTTCAGATCCTGGAGTCGTTGCTGACCTTTCTGGAAAACAGTGAAAGGGGTAAGAGACTCGTGGATTGTGGAGAGACCGAGAGACTCGATGAACAGAGTTGCTTGAGCCTCCTCACTAGCATCCCGAAGGGCCTCTGGAGCCTTTTCCCACAGCAAGTCCAAGGCTTCTTCGAAAGAGTCTTGCAAAGCTGGAGGCTGCACATTGACCTGCACGGTGCGCTCCATGCAAATTTTGCCGAGTCCATAATTCGCTAGACGATATGAAATGTGTTTCGCTTTCGAACTCTGCTCCCAAACCCAAACAAGACGCTGCAAGTCCTTCATCTGCACCTTGCGCTTATTCCAGAGGCGGGTCACGCTGCCAAGGAATTCTCGGAGGTCCGCAGGGGTACTTGCGCCATTGTGGGCCATGTGAATGGAGAAAGCCTGAACAAAGGAGGAGTGAAGGTTGAGAATATCGTTGAAGAATGCAGGCCGCTCGATAGCTGGGGTTTCCTCGTGCACTGGAATAACCTTCTCGAAGTTCAGGGTTCGTTGCTTCGAAGGGGTTGCGGGTGTCGAGGGCGCTTTCTTGACAGGGGCAACCCGTCGACTCGGGGTCCGACTCGGGGTCTTCGCGGGTGAAGCTTTCTTGGGAGAGGCATAGTGGCCGCTGCGTGGTGAGGAAACAGATAATTCGTTGAGCCGCAAAGTTTTCGAGGGCGTGCCTTCCTCTTCAATTGGCGCCTGTCTGCTACCGTTGTCGAAGTTTTCGAGTTCCTGGAGTTTGCGTTTTTTGGAAGGCGAGACTGGAAGAGATGCTATCTTCTTTGCAGGTAGCTGCGGAGTAATGCCGGCTTTGGTTGCCCGAGTGAAGGCTTGAATGGCTGGCTGAGCAACGCAGCTTGACCGGGAGGTGCGCGGCATCGCGACTGCTGAAAATTTTTTGCTGGTCGAGGGAGGATAAATGAAGAAAGGGCGATGGATATAACTGTATTATAATAGACAAGGTAAGAGATACCGAGATATTAGAAGAAAAAAAACAAGACGTGGGAAAGTGCACAAAGTGGAAAGTGGAAAGTGGGAGGAGATGTCAGAGAAGGTACAAAGGAGAGACGCGTTGAAGGGCGCGTTGAAAAAAACCACACTAGCCGTTTCGGGTTAAATAGAAACGCGTGAGCGGGAACTATATGAACTTCAATTTAAATATGGAATATAAGGATACTCGTCTGAAAAGGAAGAGAGCAGTCTTGATATAATAAATTCTAGAAAAAGAATTGAGTATAAAATACAAGAAAGCTCCATGGCCAGGCATTCTCGTCGCTACGGTAATACTCCGGCATTGGAATGTCAGTGTGTCCAAGCTCAGCGCCTAGACATTTCTTCGCTCCGATGCATGGCAGAAAATCAATTCCAAATTGGTCTCTACTATCGAGAAAGGACTGGATGACAATACTCGGTTTCATGACGCGCCCTGGACAGACCAACACCGTATGCATTGCATACCGGGCATACAATGAACTCGAGCTACACTGGCATTTACAACAAGAAACACGCATAAGTTTCATAGACCTGGAATTCTTCGTGATATTCTCAAACCGACCAGCGCCGTAATAAAATAATAGCATTAAATCGTCGAGGCTCAAGGGCGAAAAAGAAGCTTATTTCTTGCCACCCAACCAGCCAGAGACAGCATTCTTCGCTTCAGCCGCTTTTTGCTCGACTTCGCGATCGATCTCGTCAACACTTTTGTTGATCTTATCCCGATTGGCATTGAACTTGTTCTTTGCTTCCTCGCGAAGCTCATCAAGCCTTTCCTTGCCGTCCTGGGCTAACTCGGGGATGCGCTTGCCTTCAGCGCGGGCTCTGGCGATCTAGGATTGGGATGGTTAGTATAATATGTCACAGTATCTCTAATTGTGGTTGTATCGGGTATCTAGGACAAATGCTTGTGTAACACCATGCATAGAATAGAACTTACAGCATCATCGATATTAGCACCGGCTTCCTTGCCGACGTCTGTGCCAAACTTCTCGGCGTTGTTTGTACCTGGGAGCTTCTCGCGTGCCTTTTCGGCATCGACTAGAGTGGAGGAAAGTCAGCTCAATGTCCCGGCAATTCAATAGCATTGTAGAAATTTGTCAGACAGGGTACGTACTTCTCAGTTGGTGCTTTGCTGCTGAAGGATCGCCGCCGGCAGAGTACAAGTAGTAACCGCCTGCGCCCGCCGCAGCGAGACCCAGAAACAATGGAACCCGGCTCTTCGACATAATGTGTAGTGGAGTGTTGGGAGGGGAATATGTAGAGGGTGTAATTGAAGTAAATTCTGGGGTTGACAGGTTGGAGTATCCTTGGTTTTATAGGTAGCTCTCAAGACCGGGGAAACGAGTCGACTATGACGTCTTGTTCCCAGTCCTTGTCCGCACGTACTAGAACTTGCCTCTGTCGTTTATTTTCTTTCTTTCTTTCTCTTTTTTCCCCCTCTCAGATGCAGTTTTACTCTTGATATATTAATTGACCTCTGGATCTTGTACACTAATTATTCTAATCCCTCAATACCTCTCAAATGCCTACAATATTTTCCCAACTTTGTAGAAACGTACAGGGTTACAAGTGGGGATGAACCAAGGCCCAGTCCCGGAGAGCTAAACTTCCCGTCGACGTCACCTGCAAGTCATTGCCTCATTCCCTATCCGGTTCTGGGGTCTTCTCACTAACCACATCTGGGTGGGTGTAGAAGAGCAGAATTTTTAGAGCTACCATGTACAATCCATACAATATGGTAATGTTTCCGATCTTCTACTCCACACCCTTACAATCAAGCCCCAGATGTCACAAGCCTGATGCTCCATTCTCGAACCCCTTAGTGTATGTGTGCATGATCGGCGTGATCATTTAAAGGGTTCCTTTGCGTGGATTTGTACGTGAATTGTGGCTAGAAGAAAAGTAGCATTCATGCATTCCAGTCATATTCAGATCATAAAAGATATCAAACGTTCCCATAGTTATAGTCCGTTAAAGCGTCAGACAGTCAACCCCCCAAAAATATAGTAAGACACAAAACGAAATGAGCAGGTAGAGAGAAGGAAGGGACTCGGGATGGGAGAGATGAAGAGCCCACAGAGAGAGCAAGCGAAATGCAACACTCAGCAACACTCAGTCACACCGTGGACCACGACCAAAAATGAAAGAGGAACCAAATGATCGATAGGGTATCGTCATGCACATGACTCCATTCATACAAAACTTCCCATGCGAACGCCAGGACATGCATCTCAGGACTAAGAACTCATCCGAAAAAGATTGCCATCCAGAACTGTCCAAAAAAAAAAAAAAAAAGATCATAGACACAAATGTAAGACCCCCGAACACAAGTGAAAGAAAGATGGGCTAGATTTCCCGGTCGTGTATCAGTTGTCGTCAAAGTCATCAGTTCATCAAGGGTCTCGCTATAACAAAACGGGAAATATGAGAATCCCCGAAATATATAAATAAATAAAAAAAGAGTTGGAAAAGCCAAAAAAGGCCAATGGGCTGAATGTTGGAAGTAGGGCGGGCGGAAAGAGTAGTTGTAAATTGGGAGTAGGAGAGAGACGGAAGGTGGAATGCCAAGTATATGATGATCACTCTCCAGCTAGTTGCAGGAAGCGAAGATGACTTTCATATGTAAAATGGTGTAGAATGGTATAAAACGGGAGGGCTTTGTCCTGACAATTTACAGGAATAGCTTGGCTGCTCCTTTGTTCTCGCTTGTGGCGACGGCGACAAGAGCTTCCAGGCGGCCCATGCCGGAATTTCGGGCAGGAGAGTCTGAGAAGACGTCGGGCCTGGGCTCCCGGTCGTTGTGGGCTTCATAACCGTCTGCGTGGGAGGATTGGCGGCCACAGATCTATGACGGCGTTAGTAACCAGGGCGATAGCCGTCCGTTCGAACAGGAGTTCTTACCTGTGGAGGGTGCTCGGAAGGTAGTGAGGAATCCTGAGATTCAATATACCCGCTGCTGTGCACAATCGCGGGATGATACTCAAGCGATGCAGTGGATGGGGTATGTACACCCTCACTGCTACTGGAATCCTCGGGGGAGGTTCGCGTGCGGCTGCCCGTTGAAAGGCTTGGGCGATGTCCCCGATACTCTTCAGGGCTTTTTTCGGCCATTGGGCCAAATGAAGGCTGGTAAGACGACGAGGGGCGGGAAGAGACATTTTGGAGTTCCGCGAGCGTTTGTTGACCCCATTGAGAAGCGGATGCAGTGGATGGGCGTCGGTCTCGGATATCCAATCCGGTTAGGTTATGATGCAAAGACATATCCCAGGACACATGGCCGCGTCGGTGACCAGGGCCGGAGATTGGGGGTGGTGGACGGTGGGCTGGCTGTGTGTAATTGAATCCAGACCCAAAGGCAGGGTTAGGTGGTGGACGATGGTGGCCATCAAGCTGCATTGGGCTGCCTTTCCTGGTGGGTGGGGTCATCGGCCGTTGGACTACTTTGTCGAAACTCTCAATTCCGGGAAGTCGGGGCGGATGCTCGGCCGAACCGTTGACGCCGAATGAGGCCGGTACATTGTCTGGTGTATGGTATTGGTTTAGGCCACTGGTTGCAGGCCGTGGAAACCCTGTGTACGACGAAGGATGCCAAGTTCTCCTCCGCATTTCTGCCTCAGCCGCGCTTAGGGTGCCCTCGTCACGAGATACAGAGTAATGTGTGCTAGTGGGGCTTGCAAATACACCAGCCGCGTTTGGATAAGGTGCGCCGGCGGGGGTGTGATATGCCGGAGGATATGCATTGCCGTGCTGTGCGATGAAAGGATTGCTGCTCGTCGGCACTGAAAGACGACGGGCAGCTGTCTTGCCTTCCCAGAACCCATGTGCTGTACCAGACATGGGCGAAGCAAATTGGGGGCTTCCGCCAGTAGCAGCAAACATATTGGAGGGGGTGTATGGTGATCCAGCTGTCGAGGGACCAGGAGCGCCACGGATCTGGGCCGGGGGTGTGCTCGGAGGTTCTCCCATGGAATCCATAGCCAGTCGGGATCGAGCTGCGGGGTCGTTGGCCATGATCAAAGGCGGGGGGCGCCGGCGAAGTTCCGGAGGTTGGCTGAATGTTGAGGCGGTGGACGCAATACTCGAGGTTGACAAATTCCTGCTATGACCTCGGGTATGACCACTGACACTGCCTCCGGTGCCTGCCCGCGCCCGACCTGGTGGCCGCACTCGATCTGTACGGACCTGGCGCTGGAACCGTGTGCCCGTGGCCGCTAGCGAATCCCCGGGAATCTCCTCATTGACATGGACTGTTTGAGCATGCTGGCGGAGGTTGTCGAGTCGAGAAAACCGGCGAGAGCAGTGGCACTGGAAGGGGCGTTCACCAGTATGTTTTCGAATATGGCGAGCCAGATGTTCGCTCCGGGTGAAGCTCAGATTGCAAGGAGGGAAAGAGGTGCAGAAGAACCGTTGACCTTTCTTCTTTTTCGAGGGCGGTGCGTTACTTCCTTGGTTCTGATCATGATCGGAATCGTCTTGTTCTCCCTCGGAGTCGTGCATGTGTTCGTCAGACGTTGACGGGGTTCGAGCGTGGGTCAAGGTTGTGCGGGATGAAGCGTCGCTACCGCGGCTGTGATGTGAAACTCCATCCGGAAACTGCTCGGTCGAAGAAGCGTCCGGTGTTACCGTCACGCCATTTGGGTTCGCACGGGGTGTAGCTTCTCCATCCATCGCGTGGTCTTCAGGGGCCGAGTTGTTGACAGGGAGAAAGGAAGCCATATCGACGTAAGCGGGTGGGAGGCGGAAGTGATGTCAGGTCTTCGGAGAGCCAAATGCGAATGTTCCTGACCACCAGTCGCAAATCCGACAATCCGATCGGAATAATCACCCCAGGACCAGTTGGGATTCTATATGTCTCTATGTCGAGTCGTAAAAACCGCAGCGCTACGGAGAAATCGGAGATCAAGACGCGGAGTCTGGTCGGATTGACTGTGAACATTTGCGCAAACTCAGTAACCTGAACACTACTTGAGTGGGCCAAGAAAAAAGAGCGAGAGAGAGAGAGAGAGAGAGAGAAGAGACCAAAAGAGATTCGGAGAAGATTCCACACGTACGATTTGAAAGTGCGCTTACTCTGGAAGAGAAAGAAGAGAAAGAGGGGCGGAAATAGAATGTGTGTATTAGGATCCGAAACGCAAGGGCGGGGAGAAGAGGTCAAGAATGTAAGAAATAAGAGAAAAGGGAAGGTCGTTAGCTGATCGCGATCATCTCTTGGAAAGATTTCCAGAAAGAAAAAAGAAATAGAGATCCGATCAGCCGGGTAGGAGAAAAATGAACCAAAAAGGAAAAAAAAAGGGTTGAGTATATAAGGGTATATACTAATAAGAAGAATATAAAAAAAGAAAACAGAAAATGGTGACGATGAGAAGAAGAAGAGGCTTATCGGGGAAGCGAGGGGCAAAAAAAAAGAGTCAAGAGAGTAAAGAGGAAAAAGACAGGAACTCAACAGGAACTCAAAGACCTTCCGGGGCTACCGATGCGAATCATTAAGTGTTTCACCAGATATCCGCGTGTCTCCATTTTATTCAAAAGGCACCAGGCACCTCCATGATTCATTAGTGACTTGAACTACTTGAACTTATTGGAGCTACTTTGAAGCTACTTGGGACATTGACTTGGGGAGATTCAAGTCTAGACCTACTGCTTCCCTCGATCTTTAGAGGAATGTATTATACAAAAGTAGGTTAAACCATCGAAATGAAGGGTTCTTGACGTTAACCATCTTTCCCAGACCCTGGAAATAGGCACTGCCAAGCCTCAAGAAGTTTGGTTCTTGGGGAGAAGAAAAAGGTCGAGACTCTTTTGGTGGAGATCTTAGGGTTAACCTCGAATATACTCCTCCATTCTCCCCCTAAGCCCCCTCAACCATATCCCCCCCTTGCATCGCGTGGATGTATCGCACCTCGTCATACTCTTAGAAGAATGGTTACGCGGTAGGGGAAAGGGTTCCGAATGGTCCGTCCCGATACGAAGTCTTTATACAATATGAATCCTTTTGCTCGAGCCTTCTTATGGAGGATCTTACATTGGCTCACGCCCATAGTTAATTTTAGATTACACCTACATGTACGGAGTACTGCGTACATAGACTGCGGGGGTGTTGATAAGAGATAGATCTCATTTTCATCTTATACAGACCCCGGGAGTATACATTCTACAATATACATTCTAGAACATACATTCTAGAACATACCTCTTTCAATACATCTGACTCCATGAAAATAATATGAAAAGAACTCGTCATTTGGATGATCCGACAGCTCCGTTGAAACCGCATTCAGGCCACCTGAAACTTTCACCCCCTGGGACTAAGCCCGTTGGCCCATCGTGCCTGCGTCGCTGCTAAACTTTCCCCCACTTTCACTCGAGTCTGCAAACGGCAACTCCCAACCTTGGGAAGGCCAATGCTGTACAACATCCTCAGATCCCTGGTTCTCATGTACTTTAATGTACTCTATTCGTTTTGACTTGGACCTTGGGGTCAAATACCTCATCGGATGTGACGCCACGGCCGATGTAGATGATGTGCTTATTTCCTGGAGTTGGACCTATTTTGTACTCTGTAGCAAATCAAAAATTCCTGACCATGTACTGTACCGCATTGGCCCCAGATCGGCCCCATGGAGGATTGGTTATGATCCAGCAAACGCGATTGGCGGGAACCAAAGGAGGCGAGATACACTACTCTTTCCATGGAAGACATGGTTCCCCTCCTTGACCAAGTGCGGCATATTATTCTACATTACGTATATATAGTTTGCAGGATATGATTCGGCGAGATGAACAAATACTATAGGTGAAATAGGTGAAGATGGGGCTCCTGCCGCTAATCCGAATGATCGACAGTTTAGTTAACCGTCGCGGGAAAAGTCCTGTACGGAGTACAGCGGAGAAATACTATCTACCCACGTTGAATATCCATATAAATACACCGAGGGGGTCAAAGAAAACCCATCGATCGTCGCTACATCCCACGAGAAGAGGGGAAAATCCCAGACCCCGGGTACCTGTAGGTACATCTGCAGGGCTGGCAATGAGGCGCACGGCCAAGTAGAACCAGGTACCAAGCTGCAGGGCTTATCGATAAACCTGAATTACAGCCCCCCTGGGCTGTCCGGATCGGTGGATATGCTGACGTCTTTGACTTGTGAGATCTCCAGGGCTACGGCTAAAACTTCCACTCCTTCCACCTCTTCCAAGGATCATCGATTTTTGTCTTTTTTGGGTGGCGGTACTTTGTACTCCGCACATTTCCAGTTGTTATTGTTGTTGTTGTTGCCGTTGTTGTTTTTCGCCCCTGGAGAGGCGATCCGTTTGCCTTTCCAGCGGTCTGCTTATCTGACTGGTCATTGACCGTTTACTGATCAGTCCAATCATAGGCCATGCTCTGCATCTCATACCAGGTCCATCCATGTAATTTGTACCTGATTATGTGTCGGGGTGCGTACCTGGGTGGCCACGTAGGAGCCGCCTTGTAATATGACCACAATAAGTATTAGCAAAAAAAAAATATTACTATATTAATAGATTATATTATTGTATCATTTTGGTTATCTCATAGTATATACCACCTGCAGTATCTACTTCGTATATAGTGAGATAACTAGATAGTATGCACTAACAACACATCATCCAGCATCCAAAGCACCAATAAACCTTATCCTCCCCTCCCAGCCTTGGAGACACCGATACACACACATAGTACATACAATAAGTACCAGGAGGCTGAGAGTTCCAATTCACATGTGAATTCCAGACCGGACGAAACGGACAAAGCGCACCTATCTCTGTATTCTCTAATCCATACCCATGCCATTCCCCCAATCTAATTGGACCCCAACCCCCCTCCTTAGCAACTGACATGCATCTGTCCCCCTCTGCATCCAGGGCATTGAGTCAACATGCAGTGCACACACCAGCTCCCAGCCACTTTCAGAACTGCCTAGAGATCCCCACCACCATGGTACACAGCGTGGGAGTCATCTGACTCCTCTGAACACCCACCGCGTTCAGGTACTTGTACGACATACTTGCAGAGGTAGATCTACCCGATTATCTGTGTCATATCTTACGGAGTATTTGTGTATGTATGTGCATTTATGCGTGGGGATTATTTTCCGATGTTCGGAGGTTTTTGGTTTGGATTCTGTACGAGCTGACGGATTAGGTCCCGATAACCTGGTGTTGAGATAGTCGGCCCAAGGTACTCCGTACACACGGATTTGTTCCTGGTCAGGTACGCTAGTTCGCGCCTTGGCTTTGGGGCGCGGCTGGGTGCTGGTACCTGGGACTTGCGTGTCCGGGTGTTGGGTGTTTATTGCTTCCAAGGGTCTGTTGCCCATGGTGCGACAACAAGGTTCGGATATTTATAGTAGTGGTGTAATTTAACAGTTAGGCGGATATGGACTATGTTATGAAATAGCTGGCATTATTCTAGGGTTGAGTACATATGGATGTTCAGGGTGAATAGCAAATCAAATGTCTAGAACGTGTGGCTTGTAGAGGAATAATCACGAATTCCCTTTGGAGCAACCACTACTGGTGGAAACTCCAAGTCGACATATATGATGTTGATGGTTTATTTACGTCGAGAATAGCGTATGTTGAGAGGTTCTATTAGTTCATTTTCCAAGATCATCCCCGGGGCCGTCCACATTCAAATGTTGGAGGCTCAAATAAGCATATTCATGTGTATGTAATGATAGGACAATTTAAGGACTAGAAGCTTCCGTTTGTTTGTCTCTTTCCAAGCTTCTCTTCATCTTCTACTCTCCAACTGACTCACTCTCTTGCTCTTTCCTACCTCTATTGCCCCTCCCCATTCTCACTATCATCTCCCTCATCTCCCTCATCTCCCTCCTCTCCCTCCTCCTCCTTCTCAGATCTTTCTACGTCTTCCCTCCCTCCCTTTCCCCAAAGCTTATAACTTCATTTAGACGCTTAGCGTGTATGCTGGTATTGCTCTGGCACATCCTGAGCGCGCCCCTGGACATCAAAACAATATCTAAGGCATGGCCCAACTGCTGTGCTAAACACCTTATCCGTGGCAACTGCAACGCAAGGATCGGCATAGAGACCAGTATCCTGAAGTCAAGGTCGAATGTCGAATGCTCAAAACAAACTTTCTCTAGCAGCTTTGTCCTAGCAGTTTACCCCACGAAAGAGACGAGCCAAGATCCAAGCGGGTAGGCACATGAACAGTGAGTCACGTATTTCTTTTTTTTTTTTTTTTTTCTTTTTTTCACTCGTGATGATTGACTCGTGATGATTGCAGTTATTTTAACCATCAACTCCCGATTAGATCCACCGTTTGTAGGCAACAGCAAAAACAAAGGATCCTTCGATTTAGTTGCCTCAACCGTGAACCACACTGCCTCTTCGCCTTATCTTCTCTCATATTATGTTTCTTGTCTTCATGCTCCTCGTTCCAGACTTAGGACGGAATATTTGAGTCACAATGAAAACCGGGATGTGTTGTCGGGGTAGATACAAGTTCGCCTTTCAGCAAGTCCAGCAGTTTGATATCGACCTTATGTGTGGTATTGGTGATTGGCAGTCCCTTCTCGAGCAATTTGAAAGCCTGATACATGCCAAGCCAGCCTGTCTCCATCTGACCTTTGTCACTCTCGACCGGGAGACTCGACTCTGCATACAACCGTCCTTGACCTTCGAAGCTACGTCTACGCGATTGGTACCCTAACTTTAAACCAGAATATTGGATACAGTGTGAGATCATGCCCAGACTACCTCTGGCATTTCGAAGGACAACCCATACTCGCGGCAATATCGAGCCCGCAAAACAACAATCCTTGTCTGGCAAGAAGACGACGATGAACCCGGTGCTCAGTATACGCCAGAATCTTGGAGAAGAAAAACATATCGCGGCTGATTACTCAATTCCTAACCGTCACCACGCATCCGGTTCTATCGAACGCCATGTTCCCTCGGGAAGGTACGAAGGCCTCCTTGGCTATCAGCGCTGTGTTTTCAATGTTTGACTTTCGGAATTCGTCCACCAACAATCATCGTCACCATGCCATTCATTGACGACCTTCCCATCATGACCGAAGGCAACATGACGGTTCTTCAGGCGATGCCCACCGATATCACGTACATCATCTTCGATCGACTCTCGCTCGAAATCGAGACCCTGCTGGTGTTACCTCGTGCTAGCATCGCATAGCAGAGAAGGCTCATCGGCACTTGTGCTAGTCTCGATGTCGGCATCCCGGACAATGCTGTTATTCAAATTCGCCATACCACCCATGATCCCCTTTGATTGATACACTAGTATACAACTATCACATAATAGAGCCCCCAGATGTGAGAGAACCTTTTGCCAAGAAATTTTGCAATTGACCCTCAAACTGTCTCATCTATCGCTTCCCCCGCAAACGAATTTGGAGATGTGAGGTCGCCTCTTTTGCAAAGCTCCAACCTAGAATTGGAGCGATAGAGCCTCTAAGAGCTCTTGACCTGGAACTCTACTCTTCGACACTATTCTCTCCAGTGCTTTGCCGTCGGGTGGACATTCTCGGATATATTGTGAATGGCTGCAGGATGTGTCCGTATGCTGAAATCATCGCTAGCACCGACACTATTATTATAGTGTAGCCAGTGGGAAAAGGAAGAAAGAGAGATAGGGAGAGAAAAGGGAAAAGAACCAACAAACCAACAAGTATCAAAACAGACTGAACTGAACCGAAAAGCGTGCCTAAATGAAGTCCGAAACAAGCGGAAGGGCTCGAAAACGAAACCAAAAAAATTGAGGAGGCTTCAAAGAGAAACCAAGAGCCGAGTCGACGAGGCTGGAAAAAGAAAGACATAGAGCCTGGAGGATTCTGAGCAGCACGGAACCTAGCTGGAAGGTTCCAAACGAAGGGATTACCAAGTTTAAACTTCCCTCAGAAGATTGGAGTCATGATCTCTCCACGCATCGCAGATTTACCCCGTGGTCATCTGAGAAACTTGCACGGTCATCGTTGCCACTCACGAGAGAATGCTCGGTTTTTCTTCTGAATGACTTGAAAAATAAGAACTTCGAGCCTGGAGGGTTCTGAACCACATCCAAAAAAGCGCTTCTCTAAAACGAATCCAAAAAAAGTCGTAGGGGTGGGTCATACGGTGTTTGGCTACAACTTCAATCCCAATAATACTGTTTCTGGGGAGCCTGTCCGATGATACGACAAGGTGGATTTAGTAAGTTTCATGAATATTATTCTAGAGACGTTTCTAACATATATTTCTACAGATTACTCCTTCGAACGCATTGCCTTGTATGATTTAAACCGACAATTGAACACCACTAGGTGGTCTATATAGTCACACGAATCCTCGACTTGCGACTTTCAGAAGGACTCCTTCCCATCTCTTGGATTGCTGCATGGAGGCTCATATATAGGCTTATCTGTTCTGATACTCACTGAACCGATAGATCTTCAAATTTCAGGAAGCACTCATCTTCCAATCCGAATTTTCAATTCCCTCGTTCAACTTGGAAGGAAACAGAAGACTGGAAAAGCGGCCACAAAGAGTAAAAGAGCGGAAGAATATCTGCAAGTTAAACGAACACTCGCTTCCTCCAATCAAAGGGCCGACTCTTGATCAGATGCTCAAGACATGGTGTGCCCAAAGGTCGACATGGGAGCGGAATGTGTCTATGCATATATATGCATAGAGATTTAAGTGTTGATATATACTACTATCAGATAATGCACTCGCCCCCGTTTTTCTTGCTGGTGTCAGGGGGCTCCACTCCGGGATATGCAAATTTAACAGACATCCTGACACGACCAAAGATGAGGAACTGTTTGAATGCCTGATGCCTGGTTGTTCAGTTCCTCTAGCTGATACTACGCCTCATTTGTTATGTCAACGAAAAGAAGGCTCCTTTGCTTTCTCTTCCTCATTCTTTGGTAGCATCCCTAACAAAAAGGTTCTCTCAATGATGGGCATTATGGCCTGCAGTACACGGGTCCACCTCCCCATGACTTGTTGTCCCCAAGCGGCAATAACCACTAATTGGGCCAAAAAAAAAGCCACAGGTCTTACGTGTGCTGATGCAAAAACAAAGAAAAGCAATCCCTCTTGCTGGGGAAATCGTTCAATAAGAAGAATCTATGCCAGTATCCGTCGCAAGGACAGGAGTCTTCTGATGGTGTCGATTGGGGTTGACACCGGCAACCACTTGCCAAAAAGATGACCGCCCCACAGAAGTCAGGACTATCGGAGTGAGGGCGAAATTACCGCTATTTCATATCGTCTCTGAGGGATATAATCGTGCGGCACTGTGTTGTGACGCTCGGGATGCATTGGGCCAATGTATCAGCCGTCGAACTTCGATAGGCGTCTCTATAGTCACTCAAATCCCTATTTCGTCCCACTTGAGATCATACTGACTGAAAATGCGAACGGTCGCATCGAGTAGTGAAAGTTGACACTGTTGGGGTGGGGGTGATGTTGCTGTTATTTTGCATCATTTCCGAAGGATATAATCTGGCAGCGCTATCTTCTATCCCTTATGCTGGAGCAGAGCTGATACAACCATGCATGATCTGCTTTGGGGGTCATTCGTGGATATCAGAAACTCCGCTGACAACAAAATGCATTTTCGAACTTGATGATTTGCAACTGCCTGTGCGATTGAGTACCAAGTTGAGCGATGGAATTCGCAAGGATTAATCAACATGTCTGCCAACCACAGGTCGTCATTCACCGGAAATCGGACTGTGCTGGACTTTGCAAAAAAATAAAATGAAAATGAAAATAAAAAAGAACGGATGATGATGGGACACTCATCTTATCTGATTCTGCGACTGAGATGAAATGTTGGAAAGTGCGAGATGATCCAGCAATCTCGTAGCAATGTCAGGTGGGCCTCCCTCGGTGACCGCAGGATCTCTCAACCGACAGCGAATATTGCTTGGAGCATGACATATTCTATGGAATGACGGAAAGCCAGCCAATCTGTACAGATCCTCACGCGAGTGGGTTCTCTGTTACATTTGCTGCTTGGAAGGTTACGCCATTCTTCCTTTGATGCTTGTGGCTTGCAGTTATCTAGTGATAGCTTGCTGTACACTTCAAGTTCCTCAAATATTCGCTGCTTCTCGAACCGCTTCCATTCTCGAGAGTTACCCTATTTCGTCCGCAGGCTTCCACTTCGGGGTACGAGCAGTGGAACTAGGAAGAAGTATTTGATTACACCGAGAAGAACGGGTGAACACGAATGGTCTTGGTGCAGCAAACAGAAATTAGCGAGGTCCGCTATTCGTATGCTATGTTTTACTGATGCTCATACTTATGGGAACATGGAAAGCGAGACAGAATTGGGATTGCGACAAATGTACGCATTCTGTGGTAAAGGCCATACATACAACAAAAATGATAAACCCTAGAAGAGGAACAATATGCCCACATGCGGTTCAGATTTCTGGCACTCATTTCGACCGAGTCATTTGGTGATGAGGCGCAGCATGTCGAGACTATCTCTTCCCGACAACAAAGACGGATCATGGCTATAAAAAGTTCGACAGCAGGATCCGGACAGCTACACCAATGTGGAACATGCTTGTCGTTTGACTTTGTGGGCAACTCTCTTTATTCTCTGGTGGAAAGAAGAGTATAGGTTTCTTCTACGTTTAGTTTCCATAATGTCAATTTCTCTATTTAATTACTCATTTTGTTGACTCCTACGGTAGAATTCAAGTGTAGCCCGTACCTATGCACGGAGTACTTGGTTTCCGCTACCACTTCTTGGTCTTCCCTTTCTGCTTTAGTGCTCTGGCCTTACCGCCTTTTGCTCACTGAGTACACCCGAGGGCCCTGATCCACTTAGTGAGAACTGAGCAAAACGCGGGAGCAGCTGAGTGAAGCAGTACGCTCACCTCAATAAAATACAGTTGCTCACCAGAACTCTTGGCTGTTGATTTATGTACGGAGTAGCTATAGGATCTTAGCATATTTATATTTTTTATATTTATCACTCAATTGGGGACGTACCTAGGGGCTTGGCTTTTCTAGTACACGTGCCAAGCGCCTAAAACATACTCCAGGGCTGTACAGAGGTACCCCTATATAACTAGTAGACGCTTGGCACGGGTATAACCCAAAATTGGGTTGAGTTAGGTTGGGGAAGCCTAGTTGCGGCCCGTCGCCCTCCGAAACCATAGGCCAATAACGAAAATACTTTGGTACCCCACTACCCTAATTTGGCAGTCATGTACTCCATACAGAGTACTCCGTACAGCTGAAGGCCCTTGCATTCAATACTTTGCATATTTCTTGGGGATCATTGGGGATCGTTGGCATATGTGGTTACTTCAAGGCGTCCACTGACCTATTTTAGAAAATTCCCAGACCGACTCTACTACTACTCCGTACGGTACATATCACATTCAAAACATATAAATACTCCCCTGAACACCTCTATTTAGACTGGTATTGCAACCCATCCATCTTCCACAAACATCGAAAACCCCTCATTCAACTAGCAAATATGAAAGTCTTCACACCAATCTTCGTGTTAATGGCATTCGCTACCTCCCAGGCAATTGCTGCACCTTCAGGTAAGCCCCTGTCTTACTTTCAATCCCACCTCTTATAAGGCTAATTGAATCAATTACAGCCGAGAGTGCAGACCTAGAGACGCGCGCCGACTATTGCGTTAAGATTAGTGTATGCCATGGCTACAACTACGAGGGCGGCTGCTATAGTGAATGCAATAGGCCCGGTCAGGGTTACAGTATCAAACAGGAGTATCGGAAAAATGCCGGCTCGTTCAAAATTGGGACCAAGGGCTATAACTGCCAGATTGGATCGTGAGTTACCCCCTAGGTCGGCTAAACATAGAAGCTAATATATGTCAAGATCCAATCAGGGTACGGACCCAGTGGATTACCCTGGAATCAAGAGACTCAAGGATGGATGGATCAATAACATTGAAGGATATCAATGCAACAAACTCAAATGATTGATACTACTTAGGGGCTTGGAGGTTACGTCAACTGGCGAGGAATTGTGTGCCGTACAGTGACGTAGGTCGCATGGCTTCTGCTCTGGGTTACAGAAGCCAACACAACATAGTGGTAACTTCAATATAACTTCTCTAAACAGATACCCATATTATTCAAGATCTATATATGTGTGCGTTGTTAGGTATAGAGGCTGTACAAGTCTTATACCATAAACCAAAAAGAATTGGCTCCAGATCTCGCCCAGAAAATTAGGATATATCAAGTTCGGTGTAGTATACCACTCTAGATAGATGATGCCATACAATTATATTTCTCATTAGAGTTGTACTTAGTCTCTTGCGACTGACCTCATCTACCTCGTATCGAATCTCGAATCTCCTTGTAAAGACTCGGTGGAATGTACATCATGCTTGCAGTAGCCACATGATCACCGTCCCAGAGGACCAACAATTGAGCTCACCATCACAGCAGCTTCTCGCTCCCAGTTTCCAACCACCACCGTGTCAGTTCCGGGTCGGCCCTTTTCAGCCAACAGGCTGGTAGCAGACACCTGCGACGCACGGAGCACACACTCTTTGATTTCGATTCTTAGTCGATCACGGTTGGATCGCAGTGTGCGAGAAGAGACACCACCTCGGCTGACGATTTCCTGGACACGCGGGGCAAGAGACGAGGCGAGGGAGCGCCAATAGTAGGAAGGAAGTGATGAGGTGTCTAGAGCCTGGAGAAGAGGCTGCAGGAGATTAGATTTGTTTGAGGCCGCTGTTTGGGATTCGGTGGCGGGTTCGTCGGTTGTGGTAGTAGAGACCAAGAGAGGGTGTGGTGGTGGGCGGAGGTTTCTGAGAATGTTCTCTAGTGCGACTATATCTTGGCATCGTGCGGAGGTGTCGATGAGGGTTCGGTCCATGGTTGGGAGTTGAGTAAGAGCCCGGGCGAGGGAATTTACAGAGGTCATGATCGCTGTGTGCATGAACCCTTGTAATGTTGACAATAGGAGTTCGGGCTTGTAGTCGGCTGCAGTGATTTCGCCTTTTGGCGGAGGCGAAAGAAGATATAGAGCTGTGGCGGCGGTTGCTAGCCGTGCTCGCGCATCGCGGGCTTGCTTATAACCAGACGGCATGGATGACTGGCCGTTGGCGCTTGCCGAGTTCGAGGACAAAGAGAATCTGTTGATAGTCTGTTGTGCTCTTGACTTGACCATGTTTTCTGCGGGGATGACAAATTCTCCGCGTAGAGTGCGAATGACTTTCACCCGATCCAAACCGTAGCCTTCCTCGCCCTGTGTAGTGGCTGAAAGCATTTCTCGCAGATTCAAAATCGTGTACGCTGCTCGTTCCAGGGCACGGAAGCCATCTTTTCCGGTTGACGGCGAAGCTGTCCCATCCGGTCCTGCTGAAGGTGTCGGCCCTGTTGCGCCTCGGCCTGTGATTTCAGAAACCTGGCTCTCCAGCTGCCTGCCCAGGGTTAGGCAGCGCGCAACAGCCCTTGCTAGGCGGACAGTTGCAAGCGAGTTTTCAGCAGCAATACGGGCTTCGTCGGCTGCTTCCCATTTTTGTATAACCTCCTTTTGGAGGCGCTCGTACCCTTGAGTGACAGAAGCAATCTGTGTCCCTGATTCTTTCAAGATATTATCGGCAGCAGCAGTTTGGCTTTGGGTGTGTGAAAGCAATGGGAGTGCTGATCTTGTTGTCAATGCATGGATATGTGTGTCAATCTCCTGAAGATCAAAGAGCACCCGTGACAATGGTGTTGACAAATCCAACGGGGTATCTGTTGCATTGTTTGTGCTTGTCACCAATGTATTGGCGAATGAAAATGGGGAGAAGTCTGGGTCTAAGAAGGCCTCATAGTCTATGTATGACGGATCTCCTTCCGCCATGATGGGTCTAGACGCGTCCAATGTCTATTTCAATGGGGTTGCATAGAAGAAAAGAGCAATGAAGTAACTGAGGAACACCTTTTGAGCTAGCCAATCAGGAACATGTGGAGTTCAGAAATAATATGTCTCCAATGCGGCTCTCAATGTTTTGACATCAGACGACTTGGTCATTGGAGGAGAGAGGGATATTGGCCTGGAGATAGGAAGCCCACATGGCTGATAACGGGGTCACGTGTTGTTGCTTAGTCATTTTATACATCCACCTGCGCATCCATCTATTCTGTCGAGATTTACGGAGTAGATGATGACGCCTTTACTGAATGTGGATGGTAATATAAGTCATATAATATAGATGATCAAGAATAATCTTTTATACCCAACTCATGAAATAATACATATAATGTGGCGATACAGATACAGACAGATTCTATAGATTTGGGGGTAGAGAACCTCGGACACCTTGACCAATCCTATAATCTTGTGCCTCCGGAGTCAATACGTACATTTACTCCGTACGGAGTACAATATATTAGATAAACGATTTCCACTTCAAATTCAAATTCTCAATGCATTCAAATGCATTGGCTGCCAGCGCCTTCCAACGACAGAGCGGGGTTCCACATAGATAAGAGTTCGGAGTTAAGTCCGAGAACCAGACCTCATGAATATAAACTCTCAACATTCAAAGGTCCAATTCGTGAAATAGTACTTTAAATCAAGACAATTCAGACAATTTTTCACTATGTCGACATCTATAACGACAACACAGCAGGAGCAGTCCATTCGTGTGACCAACGAAGATCAACTACCTCCACTACCACCAGCGGCAAACGATGCATCATTCCAGGGTCTGGCTCGTGGAGGCCGAAATGGCACCCTAAAACTCCGTGGTATTCCCACTTTCTCAGACCTGACCGAGAAGCGTAAGTGGATGAAGGAGCACATGGCTGCTGCATTCCGGTACTTTGGCAAGCTAGGGTATGGGGAGGGTGTCTCCGGGCACATTTCGATGCGAGGTAAGTGTGACGCTCTCTCTTTTCAATGAAATATGCGTTATAGATGGGCAAGAGTATTCTGACGACTTGCAGACCCGATCCTCAAAGATCATTTCTGGATGAACCCGTTCGCAAAGCATTTCTCGACTATCAAGGCTTCGGATCTTGTTCTTCTGGATGCTGATGGATTTGTCGTCGATGGTGGAGCTCAACTGCCAGTTAATGAAGCTGGGTTCCTGATTCATTCTGAGATTCACAAAGCACGCCCAGATGTTACGGCTGCAGCCCACACCCATGGTATTCATGGAAAGACATGGAGTTCATTTGGAAAGCCAATTGAGATGCTTACACAAGGTTAGTTGCTTTTTATTTCTCTTGAGGTGGTATTGGGGATTGGAATTCGTGCTAACAGGGTCTATAAAGATGCATGCAATTTCTTTGGCAGAGTCGGTGTTTACGAAGACCATGGCGGCATTGTTCTGTCGGCAGAGGAAGGGAAGGCGATTGCAAAGGCATTGGGCAAGGAAAATATTGCATGTATCTTGCAAAACCATGGGTGAGTCGATTTTCGCCATTGTTTCTTCTGTATGCGTCTAGTTCTATCCGGCTAATTCGACTTTACTTATGTGCAGCCTCCTGACTGTCGGCCGGACTGTTGACGAAGCAGCTATCCTCTACTCTATGCTGGAGAACGCTTGCCAGTCACAGCTTCTTGCTGAAGCAGCAGCAGCCAATGGTCTTCCAAAGAAGATAATCAAGGATGATGCAGCCAAGTTCACCGCCGATGCTGCCCAGAATCCTGTAAGTGAAATGAATATATAAACCCAAGTGCTTGAGAGCATGTACACTGACAACCTTTAGCACAACTTCTATACTGAGTTCCAGCCTGAGTTTGATTTGCTCGTCGAAGAGACCAACGGAAGGTTCCTTCAGTAAAGAGTCAATAATATACATGCCAGTTCCAATTCGTTTCAAAGCTCTTTTAAATATGTAGCATATGTATTCTCCAAGCCTAAGACAGGAAGTACTCCAACCGAAAGAGGAGGTTCAGAATTACTTTTCACTTTGCAAAGCTGCCCGCAGGGGTTGCCATTCTAAAAGGTAGTAGTGCAATGTAGGCTGGCCATCATCCGCGATCTATCTATATATGCGCACCACAGCAGCTGGATGTGCTTTGGGCGTCTTTCAGATGGCTATCTAGATGACTATGGAGCCGGGAAGGCAGCATAGGAAATCGGGAGAAAATCATCAACTACAATTTCTGTCTAGGGTAGGTTTTAATGAAGGGCCCCGTAGAAGCTGTGTTGCCATCATACTTTACTCTAGATAGCACGTAGATACTTTCTTCATAACAGATAGCACAAGTTTTCACTCAGTTGCAATTGACGTTTGTTGAGATGGATGCCAGTCTTAGGTACAACGAGAGACAATGTCTCTTTTCAAGAAGTAGAGATTATAAACGATTTTTGTTTTCATATAGCTCGTCAGATTGTCAGGTCAGATCGAGAAAAAAAAAGATACAAATCTAGCACGTATTAATGTAAACAGGTATCGAACAAAATGAATATGGAAATCAATTCCTTCAGAACAAACGCCATCTATACAGATGCAACTGCCGCAAGGGTATACAAAATGGAAAAGATGCATCAAATAGCCCATGGTAGGCTGGGGCGTGAGAAGAGAAAAAACGGTATAATAGGGGAGCAAAAAGGCGTTCATAGCCCCAACGGGGAACATCAACGATGGGGCGAGGGGGCAAGGGGGCGAGCTAGCGCGGATTCATACAGCATGCTCGCCGGTGTGCTTCATATCATCCATTTCATATTCTTGCAAGCTGCGTTCTCGACCGCGGCCGCGGCCAAAGCTCGACTCCTGCTGACCATCGCCGGCAGATGCTTGTGAGGACGGGCCAGCTTGAGTGCTATCACGATGTCCACCAAACTTGATAGGCTCGAGTTCGCGTCTTTGGCATGCCCACATGCCGAGGAATGTCATCATGGCTGCACTGGAGAATTGAAGTCCCCACCAAAGTAGATTTGAAGGGAGGGAGTGTGTGTACAAAGTGGTGGCGATGAGGTGGAGGAAATGGATCGTCAGAGCGAAATCCGGGACGAGCTTTGAGCGGGATACGAAAACAAGTAGGAAAATGACGCTGAGTACTCCCGAGTGGAGATTATAGTTAGCCAGCTGATCGGAATACTGCTCGTAATGTCGAACTAGTGGACAACTCACCTAATAAAGCAATTCAACATCCACACCAATCCCAACATCCATCCAATGGTCGTATCACCGCGCAGAGAGTCCCAGCCAAAGACCAGGTCTAGCGAGAACGGTGCGCCATAAACGATGGTCGTGAACAAGATGAGGACCGTGGCGCAGGCATAGTATGCGAGCTGCAGCAAGAGGATCTTGCGGACGATCTTCAGCGGAGGGAGTTCAGTGCGCGACCGCGCTGGCGGACGTCGGCGCGCGGACATCAACTAAATAGACAATGGGGGTTGTTGTCACCCTCGTGAATTCCGTTCAAGGTCGAGGTGTCAAGGTGGTCGGATTGAGCTCGGCGCCCGAGGCGAGGGTACAATGGTGGAGGCGAAGGGAAGGGAACATGCAATGCTATTCGGGACGCCGATCCAAGTGCAATTTAGAGACAAAAAGTATCCGCTGCCAAATGTTTCAAAATTATATGTAAATTCCAGAACGTGGAGGTGCAAAAGTGAAAAAGGGTCCGGAGATGGCGATCGCCTGCCTGGGATCAACAGTCTTGGCGGTCACAGGCCCGACCCGCCAACAACTGGACATCTGCCGTCACTGACACCTTTTGGCTGCACAACTTGCTACAAGCGACAGCATACTCTATTAATTTGAGCTCGACGAGCCAATTCCTCACCCGCCCCCTCCTCGACATAATCATCTCTCCAAAATGGGCTGGAATCCTTGGTCTTCCGGCGATTCAAACAAGAACGCAGCCTCCGACGGCGGCCGCATTGCCCCGGACCGAACGAGTCGCGCACGCTGCTGGGAGGGCCGCGATTCATTCTTCGCCTGCCTTGACAAGAACGATATCCTGGATGGCATTAAAGATGATAAGAAGGCGCGACAGAAGTGCGCGAACGAGGTCGCGGAGTTTGAGGCGGCATGTTCACAAAGCTGGGTACGTACGGTTGGATTTATCTTTGATTGTCTGCTCAGAATTGCCAGTTTTTGGTGTTTTCTAGCTTGCCCTACGTTATATCTATTCATTCGCAGATTGTTGACTCGAGATTCTTGGCGTCTACTAGGTGAAATACTTCAAGGAAAAGCGTGTGATGGAGTTCAACCGGGACAAGACGATTGAGCGCATTCAAAAGGAAGATGCGGCCAAGGTGAAGGAGCTGAAAGAGAAAGGCTGGACTTCGAAATAAGAAGCTAGGGGGACTTTGTCGGCGACTTTTGTACAATATGTAGCATATCCTCTCTTATCACGTACCTTCATGACCACTCCATTCTAAAGGTACATTGCTGGAAGCTGCAAGCCTTGGATAGCTTGCTTGCTCAGTCTTACTATGTATGCCTTGTATAACCTAAGCTTTAAGATCGAAGGCTCACCACCGTCGACAGCAATGCGTTGGGTTGGGTAAGACTACGTACTCGTGGATGTTTTGGATAACTTCTGCCATATCTTGCGATATATGAAACAGAATTTGGAAAACGACTACTGGTCTATCGCCACCTATAAGGATTACAGTACTATTACATAAAATATGTAAATGCCCGCAAATCTGTTCAAAATACGAAACCGTCTCGACTTTTCTAAAGCCTGGCCGAGTTGCCAAGGTAAGATTATATGATATCACCCTCTGGCCGAGGGAATATGTACGTACACGTTGATGCCAAAAGGAGAGATGTTCACAAGCAATAATAACCCAAAATATGTATCTAGGGAACATCCATATTATGTCCAAAGGGGCAAATAAACCAGTAATCACAATGAGCAAGAGTCCAATGGTTGAAACGACATGCCAACTCCATCCTAGGTACCGCATTGCCCTAATATCTCCTAATATCTTACTGCATCTGTGACACATGAGAAAGAAAGAGGAAAAGGAAAGAAAAGCAAACGCCTAGTGTTGCGAGAACTGGTTTTTGGCCAGCCAGAAAAAAAAAAAAAGCAACCGAAGCAGAGCACTAAAATCCACCAGGTAGGGATGTAAGAACGCCAAGCTCCGAAAATGAACAATGACAAAAAGAACCTTAAGTTCGAATGAGGATGATAGGTAGTAAGAGAGTCGTGAAATCATTGCTTCCATTTAGCGAGGTGCTGCATCAGGTTCTGTACCTGGGGACCGACGGGTCCCTGGCCCTGCTGCGGTTGTCCACCTAGTCCTTTGGCCAGCAGCGAGAGTAGGTTTGGATCGGTGATGACTGGTGCATTTACAGGCTGGAGGTTGAAGGGTGGATGGGGGAGGGGCTGTTGTTGGGTATTTTGCATAGGCGGGGGCCGATGCGCATTGGTCAGGAGACTAGCGAGGTCGGCGGGAGGTGGGTTTGGTGAGGAAAAGGGCGACTGAGTAGCAGACACGGGCTGCGAATGGGGAGGTCGCTGGAGCGCCGACAAGAGGGTTGAAAGGCTAGGACCATCCAATGAACCAATAAGGTTCGCAATATTGGGTGGGTTTGAAAGCGCAGGCAAGCCAGGTGGAGGAACCGCCATAGGCTGTACTGGAGGGACGATGAAACCAGGATTCGGTGCAAATGCGGTTGGGGCCGCTCCTCGCTGCATCGCTTGGGACTGGTGGCTCAGGAGCTCAGCAGACATATTAGGCTCGAGCTCAGGGTAATCTGTGTGTAGAGAAAACAAACGGATTAGCAGGGCGTTGACGGAGAAGTGGACGCATAATACGCTTACCAAGGAAGCGAACGTTATCCAATCCAGCGGTTCGATCAAATAGCTGCAGAGGAATCTTCCGAGAGACTTGGTTCGGACGAGAGAGGCGGACGACGGCAAGAACACCTTCAATAAACTGACGATGCACAGCAGCACCAAGAGGAATCCGTGGACCAAGCACCAGGACATCCACTCGCAATCCACGGTTGCGGAAAGCATTCTCTACGTGAAGAACGAAGTTCCTTCACAATGTTAGTAGCTGTGCCGAAACATATCTTAAGATATTCAACCCACCTGTCAAGTTCCTCCAGCACGAGGATCTGCACATCTGGTACATCTCGCTGAGCTCGTCGAGGCACAGGCAAATCCGCTTCCCCTTCATAGATACCGCGCGGTCTTGGGCTGATGCTCCGGTAACGTCGGTCTCTGGAATAAGGAGAGCGAGGAGAACGCGGAGAACGGGAGCGCCTTCGCTCGCGGCGATCGAATCTTTCTGGCGTTCTGTCGCGCGACCGATATCCATCTCTAGATCCCCGAAACGGTCGCGGGGAAGGTGATCGTGGCGGGCGATAATCGTCGCGTCTGCTGCGGTGAGAAGGTTCATCCCGGAAATCGCTAAATGGAAGCCGACTTGGTTCATAGGGCTTAGACCGGTCGTATCGATCGACCGGGGCCCGGGGGTTGGTTCGCCCAGGACCGGCACGGCTGAACTCAGGTGACCGAGAACGACGTGGCGGCGGTGCACGGGAAGTTTCAGGCGCTTGAGCGGGTCGGGTCGATCGCTGAGGCTTTGAAATTTCAAGATCTGGAGACGGTTAGGTATTTCTTTGCGAGAAAGATAGCTTCATGGATTCAGGTACTCACGTATCTTCCTGCCCCGCACGACAGCTCCCTGTTCGACTCCAAGAGCCGCATGACAGGAACTCGCCTCCAGAAACTGTATGAAGCCGTACGCTTGCTTGATCGATATCTGAGCTAGTTTGCCGTACTTATGGAAGATATGGAACATGTCTCGCTTGGTGACTCTCTCAGTAGGGAGATTGCCTGCACATCGTAAAATTGTTAGATCGAGTTAGAGGAGATATATGTGGGAATAAAACTGACCAACAAACAACCTGGAGCCGATTGGGAACCGATCCCAAAGACCTTCCGTCACATAGATCCGCTCATCGTGCAGAAACTCATCATATTTCTTTTGGACCTCTGGACCCCAAGGCGTATCATCGTCAGAAAGCTTGATGGGCCGACCCTGCTTGTCAACACGGACTTTCTTGGATGCTACAGAAATCTCTTGCAAGGAGCCCTGAGATTCGGCACCAGTAGATGGGGTTTGCGGGAATGTGCCAATCGGAGGAGGTGGATTGTTGACGGTTGAGGCCCCTCCAGAAGCACTGTTAAATGGTTGGGACTGGTCTTGGGGTTGAATATTACTAGGTTGGGGGGAGTAGGCAGGCGACGCAGTAGCAGCAGCATCATGGGCAGGCGGCAGTTGGTGATATGTCACCTCGCCATTTGGGATATAATGGGCCTGGATAGAATCGTGGCTTTGGGCTTGAGGGTGGGCAGGGATGCCCTGGGATTTGAGGGACTCGCCCGCGGGTGCTTGGTGGATAGACGAGTTATCAGCGGAAGGAACGGCGGGAATGGTTGCACCAGGGTTGGGCTGGGAAAGATTGTCGAGCAGTTGCTGGAAATTGACACCATCCGCGCTATGCCCCACGCTCTCCTTCTCATCAATTAGGCGATCCGGCATCCTTGACTGCTCCGGGTCATAGGCATGATCTACTTCATTCCCAGTGGCAAAGCCTTGGGATACCGGAGCAACCGGAGCAGCATGGGGATAAGTGGAATCGGGGTGAAAGAAACCTGAGCTCGGATGACCGGCGTTTTCGGACCCCGACGCTGGGTTGGGAGGGTAATATGCAGAAGCAATCATTTCATTTTGCATCGCACGATTCGGTTGCGAGCCATGAAAACTATCAGCATCTTGGGTCTGTCTCGATCCCTCTCCATCGTTTAACCCTCCGTGCAACCATCCATCGTGTGTTTGCGGGACCTGCTTATACACCGAGCGTTCATAGGTGGAGGTATCGTTGAAGACGGGGTCCATTTGGTTCTCTAAGACTGGGATATTGGATGGCTCCGGAATGTGTAGAGGTCGAGGGCTTTCCGGGGTCAGAGTCTTTCCGCGAAAGTGAAGCGCTTCATCTGGGGGACTGGGCGTCATGTAGACTTCGAGGAGCAGGAGGTTTCATCTACGGAGAAAAAGTCTCGGGGAGGGTCCTGGGAATTTTCGCAATCGCAAGCTAAGGTGGGGCGAGAAAAAGATGGGTCGGATTTCTCAGACCTCACCCAAGAGGGAAAGGGGAAGAGTAGAAAGGAAGAAAATAGGCGATGAAGAGAAGGGAATAGGAAATAGAGTGGGGGGTTCTAGTGAGAAGTGGGAATAAGGGAAAAAAAAGTTTGTCAGGTGAGCAGTTGGAGGCGTTGAGATTCTGAATTTGGAGATGTCCACTGCAGTATCACGAGGATAAAGATAATTATTTTTAAAAATTCAAATTTGTTTTTGGTTTTAAGATAAATTCAAGGAGAAAGAAGATATTTCTAAGGTAAATTGTGTAAAAGAGTAATGGTTGATGTAACCATATATCACCATATAGCACAAATCACTACAACATGGAGAGTATACTATCACTACATCATATTCTAACTACTCTAACTATATATACTCAATTACCTTAATCACTCTAAATCACTATCCCAGTCAAATAAAAAGCTTCCGTTACGTACGCTAAGCGGGGCTAGACCTGGCGAGAAACGGCATTCCATTTCTTAGAAGTTTTAATTAGTCACACTCCACCTCTCCAGGCTTTCTTCTCGTATACCGGCATCTCATGTATTGCCAATGGCGTATACAAAGCCTTCGGGCACTACCCTTGAGACTATCCTTGAGAAGATTCGCATCTCAGGCTGACCAAGATGTACAAACAGCAAGAGATTGGCTCAAAACCCTCAATTCCAAGACCATCCCCCCCAACATCTGTGAGGTCTCCTTCAGTCGATCTAGCGGTCCGGGCGGGCAAAATGTGAACAAGTCAGTGTCCCCACTTGAAGATCAATAGTACTGAATGTTGGCTAATCTAGAGAGGGAAAATAGGGTCAACTCCAAGGCCACCTTGAAAGTCCCATTGGACGCATTGCTGCCTTTGGTTCCCCGTCTGATACACCATTCACTACGCGCTTCCCGATATGCCACTGAAAGAACCCAATGTCTAGTCATTCAGTCGGACGAGGAGCGGAAACAGTCTAACAATGTGGAATCCTGCTATGACAAGCTCTATCAGCTATTGCAGAGCTCGGCTAAGGAGGTGATCCCTGGGGAAACATCCCAAGCGCAAAGAAATCGCGTGCAAAAGTTGTATGTTTACTCTTTCCATGGAAGCACTGAGCAAATCTAACGGGGAAAAAACACAGACAAAAGGCTCAAAATGAGGGTCGGATTAAAGACAAGAAACAGCACAGCGACAAGAAAAGTAGTCGCCGGGGAAGCAAATACGATGATTGATAATGACCATGCAAACCACCTGATAGCATAGGGACAAGTTCGCCAGTGGACCCTGAATTTTGATAATATCCGATCAACGCCTAAGTGCTAAGTACAAATACTTGGGTATGCTATATGTATGCTACTCCTGTGCCGCGCGCTCCGCATTGCGGACGGTAGCCGCAATAACCTTCTGCAATGAAGGATCCAGGCCCTCTGTTGCCTGAACAGGTTGAAGCCAGTTGATCACTTGGCGTGCGAGATCCTTGCCCATGGGATACTCTCTGAGGCGGGCAAGAGAGCTACCAAGCGCCCGTGGGAATTCGGCCGATGTGGGGGGATTCCAGCGGTCGGGAACTTGATGTAGCAAATCTGCGTCCGTGGGCTGGAAGGCTTGTTGGCGCGCATCGTCTCAACCACATGTTCCAAAATCTTGCGAAGACAAGGCGCATCCTGGAATTCCCATGCCATATCAAAGTACTCCTGACCGAACCGATCATCGTTGTCGAAATGCTTTGTGGCGGTATCAAAGATGGCGAGCGGGATGGCACCACTCAGAGCAGGCGTGGAGTTCAGGTTTTGCAGTGCAACCTGGTCTACTTCTCCGTCCGCTCCTGTGCTTGGGTTTATGTCCTCGGCTGTGAGTGATGGGAGTGCGATCATGTCGGCATCGGTGTCATCGACTTCTGCTTCTTGAATCGGCTTGGGCTTCTGGCTCTCCTCGTCAAGACCGAGAATCCGTTGGCGAGCGACCAGCTTTGCGATGTAAATCAATTCCAGCTTTGCATATTGAATCCAAATCGTCCTCGCGCTCTTGCAGAACCGTAGACCGCGCTGCATGTAACTCCGAGCCTGTGTCATATCTCCGTGGTCATCGAGGACGTGCTTAGCGGCATAAACCCATAAGTCGGCGCTGGTAGGGTGTAGTCGCAGAGCATCGGTGAAAATCATGAGGAGCTTTTTGTGTGCCTTTTGTTTGCGAGCATATTCGATGTACTGGACCCAGAGGTTGATATCGCCGTGGAACTTGCGTGTAGCTCGGTCGAGAACGAAGAAAATGCGTCGCTGGCCATTGAATCCTGCCGACCGAATCCCAAGTCGCTTCACCCGCTTCTTTCGTAGCACATCGAGGTTCATTTCGTATTCAGCATAGCGCACAAAATCCACCGGTTGCGCACCGCGTGCGTTGAGTTTGTGCTCGAAATCAGATCTTTTTTTGACGATAGAGGAAATTTCATCCTGTTATCTTGATCAGCTGTCATTCTGATGGAATAACTTTGCTTTTCGGCTTACCTTGGTGAAAATCTTCTTGCGCTCATATTCCTTGAGCTCAGGCACTGACTTCTCGAGGAAGAAACGAGCCTTATCTGTTGCGGCGGACATGATTGCTGGTCACTGCAGAGGTTAAAAAAAAAGTCGGCATCCCGCATTGAAAAAACACCGATCCAGCCCCAGGGTGCGCTTAACCGCATTGGGTTAGCGTACAGGGCACTCAGAAGCACCGAGGGATCCGGATGTTGTTTTCATCTTCCTCAGGGGCCATTTGCTCGTGACATCTTGTTCAAGTCGTTTTCCCTTTCGTTCTTTTTCTTGACACTCCTTTCTTTCTCAATTTTTGAATTTTTTTATCATATCGGTGCAGAGATTGTCTTTACCTCTGCGCCGCCATGGCTCCCCGATACAAGGACGGAGATGCCGTGGTCGCCGTAAGTTCTAAGGCGCTCTACAATGGGGATCTAGAAACGCCACTAACTTGACATTTTTGCAGATCAACGGCAAATGGGTCGCATGGACTCACACGGTTTTCGCATATGCTGCGTTCATCAGCGCGCTGATTGTCGGCGTTGCTTTGCACTATCACAAGATCGTTCAAAATGAACATTACGGCTACCCAATTGAATGGTTCCCCTCCGTGTCTGCGACCATCGGTGACCGATATCCCGAACGATCCTTCTTCCAGGTCTTCATTGCGATTACCTCTGGTCCTCGCTTTGCCCTCGTCTTCCTGTGGTACATCCTCACTTCGCGTCCGAACTCGACCTTACCCAAGTTGGTTGCCGGCGTGGGCATCTTCCGGACGTTGACATGCGGTGGTTGGACCTATGTCACATCTACCGATGACCACGACTGGCATGACATCTTCATGATCTCGTACTTGGTGGCCACTTTGCCGTGGACCCTAGGTTGCCTTGCGCTTAGCCCGAACAACCGCCGTGCCGTCAAGTACCGTAAAATTATGGCTAGCTTGTTCTTTGGAACATTGGTTCCGTTGATCTACTATTTCATTCAACACAAGGTCCACAAGGTTCCTGGTGGTGAGTACTTGCATTTGTGAGCATCCAACTGAGGTTACCGCATGCTAATCAGTCAAATCTTTAGCCTACACCAAATATGCCTTCTTTGAATGGTCCCTAATCCTGTTCGATGTCGGTTTTGATGCTGTCACAGCTCTTGACTTTGAGAGCTTCGAACTGGTGGTGAGGGATGTTAAGGGTGTTAGCAGAGGGTATGTACCGTGGCTTCCAAAATGACACTGCCCACATCAAATGTATAGTGCCAAAGGCTATATTGGTTTTGAACAAAGAAACCATTTTCTAAGTTTGTCCTCATTAGGCAATTGAAAACGACTGCAGATTCTGTTTTGGAAAAAGAGTGTGTTCAATCCCATAACCAACTACAACCATCCCAGAAATTAACCACGTACGTAGGAAGGGCAAGCCTGTGGGCAACACCTTTGGCGAGGGCTTCTTCTGGACCGAGATCATTGATGCTGCCGCGGATGTGTACAATGGGGTAAATTATACCAGTCAATCATTGGCCTCTTGCGTTACTAACGATGGGCTGTAGTTCGTTTTCTGGACCATAGTGACCGCCCTGCCTGTCCTTGTCTGGTGTAAGTAACATATATTCCCTGGTACTGATGGACTTGTCTGATCTTAATAGATTTCCCTCTTTGGCACATGGGTATTTCCGGCTACGAGGTTGCCATTGTTTGCTGCACGTCCCCATTGCTCTACGTTATCCCATCCCTGCGATATGCAGCCGTGAGGAATCTTCGCCTTCTTCACCTGCTCTCACTCGTTGGTCTTCTCGGATACAAGTTCCAGGATCCTGCCAACCGTCTCTTTGTGACTGGGTTTGCTCTTGCTACCACTTGCGCAGCATGGACCGCTAGCTTCTTTTCCGAAAGGGCCAACACTCCTCGTCTCGAGGCACGTATCATGGCTTGGGGAATTGGTTTAATTATGTCCGTTGTTGCCAAGTTCGCATGCAAGACCAACAACCCACTTTGGCCAATTGTTCACGCCGAGAATGGTGGCTGGAACAAACTCGGAATCTTCATCGCTCTGTTCGCTGTTTTGAGGTCCCAGAGAGGTTCAAACACGAGCGGCGGTGATTACTTGCCAGCAGGTGGCAAGAAGGGCTCGTCCATTCTTGCTGGTGTTGGATTTGGCGCTCTGATGTTCGCCATCGTGTCGCTTTTGACAGACTCAAGTACCATGATCTCGTGGGTCTGGGACGGATACCCGGTGCGCGGACCGCTTGCAGCTCCTCACGGTGCTCTGACGATCTTCGCAATGGGGGCAGGCCTTGTGTACGGCATCTTCCACCCTAGAATCGCTGGAAGCTGGACTGCCTTCGGTGTCGGTTCCATTGGTGCTGCTCTTCTTACTTGCTACCACCACTGGACTGGGTTCTATGGCGCCCTCATTCTTGCGTTCTATGTCATGGCCGTTGCTCCGGTTCTGATTGCGTCCAGCGTTCGCCACTCTCCTGCGAGCACTTTCGGCATCGGCTTCATCGTCTATGTGGCCCTTTTGCTCTTCCACGTTTGGGTTGTCGCCTATGCCTTCGTGCCAGGTGGCCCATTCCTTCGTGAACACACTGACTGGCTCATGACTACTACAATGGTTTCCATTGGTGCGGGTGTTTTCTCTGCAGCGACCTCAAACTCGACTCGCTCCCGCAAGGCTCACAAGCCCGCCAACCCCAACAGCAGGAAACAGCGGTCGTACTATATCTACGTCCTGGCTGTGCTGCAACTGCTTTCCGTGTCCATCGCCTACCTCCGCTTCCCGACCAATGACTACACACCTCATCACAAGGAGGACAAGGTTGTGACCGCTGGTATCTGGACTGTCCACTTCGGCCTCGATAACAACATGTGGTCATCCGAGCGCCGCATGCGCGATGTCATTAGTGAGCTTGAGTTGGATGTTATTGGTTTCCTCGAATCCGACAACCAGCGTATCATCATGGGCAACAGGGACGTCACCCAGTTCATCGCCGAGGACCTTGGCTACTATACTGACTTCGGCCCCGGTCCCAACAAGCATACCTGGGGCTCTGCCTTGCTGTCCAAGTTCCCCATCGTCAACTCTACGCACCACCTTCTCCCTTCGCCTGTGGGTGAGTTGGCACCCGCAATCCACGCCACACTCGACATGTATGGCGAGATGGTTGACGTTGTTGTGTTCCACTCCGGACAGGAAGAGGACCCCGAGGACCGCCGCTTGCAGAGTGAGTATCTGTCAAAGCTGATGGGCGACTCCCCACGTCCTCTGATCCTATTGAGTTACCTTGTCACCAAGCCACTCGAGGGTAACTACAACACCTACGTGAGCGAGCGTAGCCAAATGAAGGATATTGATCCTACCGATTGGGATAGATGGTGCGAGTACCTTCTCTTCAAGAAGTTGCACCGCACTGGCTACGCCAGAATCAGTCGTGATACCATCACGGATACGGAGATCCAGGTAAGTAATGCTATTGTTTCTAATTCTTCTCTCACGCGGTCTTATTTTCTGACTATTTCGTGACATAGGTTGGAAAGTTCGTCATTGGCGAGCCCGAACCCGAAAATGAGATGCGTATCCCAGAGGAGATGGTCCCCGTTGGCCGCCGCTTCCCTGCCATGTTCTACGGCCAGGGTGTGCGCGGACACCGCTACCACGTCTTCGACGAGCCCAGGTACTGGCAGTAGACGGTCTACCTGAGTGGGAAGCGTATACACGCTTCATTGCGCAATTTTTTCCTTGGGTCTACAATATCATGACATAATTAAGGACCACATAAGGCAGACGTCCCACTATCCTTGGGGGCTGCCAATATACCTAGAGTAACTGAATGATGAGAGAGTATTTTTTGTTGATAGTTTTCCTATTCTCCCAGTGTTTCCTTCTGACTCATGCTCTTTCTACGTACTCGTACATTGCATGAGCCGACGGACTGGATGTTAACGTATTGCATCCCACATTTGTATATGAAAGATCCTTTAATTGTGTGTTCCTTTATTCTCTTTTCAAAGAATACCTGGTCATGTGTATATTCTTCTGAATTCTCTTTCAGTAGTACCGAGACAATTTCTTCCTCTCTGCCTTGATAATTTTGCGAATTTGGAAATCCAAAGTTATGTGAGAACAAACACTGAATATTGACCAGGAATTTTTAGCAGTCTCAACTAGAATGTAGGAATCTTAGCAGGAACCGGATCGATAGGTTCATGAGACACCATCCCCAACACTAGAATCTTTCTCTTTGTGTCATTATGCTGAAAAATTACAAACTATCCTAAACCTAACGGCCTGGCTTGTACGCTAGCGCTTTCATGCCTATCTGGATACTGACCGAGATATATATCCTTTGTCGTACGCTGAGAGGCGTCCGCTAATAATAGCCCTGACCATGTCAAAGACGGTTTGAATCTGACCTAATTAATCATATCACTCCCAATTGGTAGGAGTTACCGCGAATTCTTTTTCTTTCTCGTATTGATCTTGCCCTTCAGTATTTGCTACAGAGTTTTCGAGTCTTCGGCACAGAGCAATGGCAGCATAGCAGCATGTCTTCCCAGGTGCATTCCAGCAGCTATGTTGATCATTCGATTCGATTTAGTAGATCTCTTTTCATGGCCGCACAGATTCATCGATCCTGAAAGCTCTTTGTTCGTTCTGGTCGGCTTCTGGTGTCAGACCCAGACAACGGGGAAATAAGTTTCACGTTGCTTTAGAAGAAACTTCATGATGGGAAATGAGGGGGCCAATTGCTGAATCCGGACACAGACCAAATTTAATCTCATCTGGCCAGCTTTTGCTTTTCGATGGAAATGGCTGGTTTATAGCCCCCATTTGGAAGTAGTGGAAGCCCTAACCTGCCGGCGCCTCTTTGCAATTGCCCCTTTCCCAGTGTTTCCAGGAAGACATGCTTAACTTTCTACATATGTAGGATACTACTTGGGTTTCAAATACAAAAATTCGGATCTCTCTCTTGAAGTAAACAGAAGTAAACATGATGGGTGCGGATTCTCGGAATGATCAGCAATACTAGCTCAAACCTCATTATCTAGCTCGAAAACGAGATATTCTGGTTCTGGGATGGATTTTCTTTGATGTGATTATTTATTAAATTAAACATCGATTTTTGGTACTACATTACTTCCTGTGGTTTCTGTCCTTGTTCATTGTTTTTCATGCGACGTTGGAAGCCTGATGATACTCTTGTTTCTTTTTTTCAGCTGCCCGGCTTCGGTTGCTTGAATTACCTGGGTGGTCTGTTCCATTGAGTTCTTTTTGTTACATTCTCACGAGCTAGAGTTGATCTTCTGCATGCGGTCCCTCAAAACTTTCATTCGAAGTGAACGGAATATTCACAGTGTGAAAATGGTTGCCAATATTATAAACTTGCTGCATTACAGCTATCATCAACCTTGGTTGATTTGGGCCAAAGTTACTTACAATTGCGTGAAGTGGAACTTCGTATCAAGATTGACAAGATTGACCAGAAACGCTCTTTGTCAAAAGGCCCTCGGTGCATCTGCAATAAGCTGGGCGCAGACAAAGAAGAGGGCTCGAAAATATATTTTTAACTCTCTTTGTATTGGTAAATATCTGCATCTTTCTCTGTTGCTCTCTGTTCATGCTTTGCTTACTGGCACGAATAAGTGATCCGTCTCGGTCTTCTATTAATATAGAGCCAGCAGGTCCAGATTTATACTCAACCACGAACACCACCACGATTTTCTTGACTTGAATCTTCTGTCATCAGATCAATCACTATAATTTATAGCAGCAACAACTGATAATAAGTATGGTCCCGGTGGTATCATTTTACACATTCTCTGGCTAACAAATCAAATCAGATTGAGACCATCGAGCAACTCGAAAAGATGGTCACAACTCGAGGAACGGCTGGGGGCACTCGGTCAAAGGTCCAGCTTCTACCTGTTAAACCTTCCAATGCCGCAAAGGCCGCCAAAGCCGCCAGAATAAAAACCGAAAAGGATGAAAAGAAGGCTGCGGCGGATGCAGCGAAGCGGCTAAAGGATGCGGAGAAGGCCGCAGCAAAGGCCGATAAGGACGCAAATAAGGCTGCAGCAAAGGCTGCGAAGGCCGCCAATACCAAAAACAGCACAAAGGGCACGAAACGCACAATTGTTGCGAATACTAAAGCTCCCAAAGCTGCCAAAGCTCCCAAAGCTGCCAAAGCTCCCAAAGCTGTCAAAGCTCCCAAAGCTCCCAAAGCCCCCAAAGCTGCCAAAGCTGCCAAAGCTGCCAAAGCCACTAAAGCCACCAAAATCACCAAAACCACCAAGAACACAAAGGCCACAAAGGGTAGAGCTAGAGCACCTGCCATGAAGGCTTCAACAGATCAATCGGATGATGAGGACGAAGACGAAGAAAGCGAAGAAAGTGGAGAATACTACGATGAGCCACGCGCCAAGAGGCGCAAGGTTGAGACTCTGGCTTCTCCCGATCTTTCTGTGCCAATCGGCCCACCCAGAGTAAACCATCCGGTTCTACAAATCGGGGATTGGAAGTACATGAGGAAAACCGACATCCCAGAAGGCGTGGAGAACGATCTTAACAGACCTTTACCCTACGTCTATATTGGAGGCGCTGCACCACATCCTCGTTGGGTGGTCACTCGAACCGAAAGGCTAAAAGTCCCATCCAAACTACATGTCTCAAATTCCAAGTCGAGTATCACGAGAGACTTCGGAGGTTTACAATGGACGTTTGAAGAAGGAGACTTCAAGAAATGGACCGGGCTAGGATACCCGGCTCTTTTCGAACTTGCGTATTTGTGTCTCGAATATACGCTCAGTGATACGGAGATCCGGGAGCAGATCTATGAATCCCTAGTCCAGGGCCCCTTGCCCGAGGCCGTGGCCGTTGGTTACAATTGGTACCCAGCTCTACCACCAATTCCCCCCACAAGGCACTTTGCGACAGGATCCTCCCAGCAATCTAGTCGGAGACCAAGTGACTCGGGCTTTTACTTCAGTAACTTTGATCGTCCAAATATGGCAGTCCAACCACGAAATAATCGCATGGCACAACCGTACCTGCCTCACGTGCCTCCCATTGTCTCCAATCACCCGAGATTAGAGGAATGGCCAACTGGCCCGCGCTCTGCAAGTCCGGACCCGGAGAGCGAACGGGGCAGCAAAGAAAGTCAGTCAGGCGGGTCCAGAAAGTCGTCTATGTCGGAGGACGCTTACCCGGAGCGAATTACAGAGGGCACTTACTCGGAACTGATAACCACCAAATCTCTGAAAACCGACCAGAGTGGCAAGAAAGACAGCGAACAGGACAGCGAACAGGACAGCGAACAGGACAGCGAACAGGACAGCGAGCGGAAGAGCGAAGAAAGTCAGTCGGTGGATTCCAGAAGGTCGTCTGTGACCCGGGAGTCCGACCTAGAACTAAATCCAGAGGGTGTTTATTCGGAACCGACAACCCCTGTACCTCTTGGAAATGATGGCAAATTTGCACCAAATGGTGAGTTCAAATGTGCTTAGTTCGCCATAATTTTCCCATTCTCTGCATGCTTCTTTTTCTTTCACTATATACATTCAAAGTGATCAGATGATTTGATATGGGTGGATGTACCAATGGACCCTTTTAATGGAGTGCTAGTGCATCAACCATACTGTGAGACAAAAGGAGCTACCTAGAAGCATTCCTACCTAACTCGCCTGGGACGAGATTTATGATTGGTTGTCAAGTTTCTGGGGAAGAGGAACACCGATCCCTTCAATATTACATGTTGCATATGAATACCTATTCGGGCAATACACTAACCGGTGGGCTATAGATGCAGTCTCAGAAGATGGTTCGATCTTTGGCGGCGCCGATGACGATCAGGTTGAGCCCAACTCAGCCCGGGGCTCTCGAGAGCAATCACCTAGTAGTAGCGTTTTCTCGGGCTCCGGCTCTGGCAACGAGGTCAGCGCTTCTTCCAATACCAGTGAGCGTAGCAAGTCCAATGCCGCTGACGACAATAGCGCTCAACCGACGAATAGCCTGTCCCCAGTATCCCATGATGGGCTCTTCAGCCCTGAACAGATCGAGAGATATTACAGAAAGAAGCAAATAAATTGTGAGTCTATCTATTTGTTTATTACTCACCCCAGTCAATGATGCTAATGTTTGGTTCAAGTTGAAAGCTTAGGCGGTGTTGAACATCACAAAGGGTCAGAAGGAAAGCGCCAAGCACAGCTATCACCAAGTCCTCTTCGGGGGCGCCGGAGACATTAGAAGACGCACAGAAAGAATTGGAAATGGGAGAGCTCAAAACGGGAGGGGTTGCAGAGTCAAGTAAACGAATGCGGATGGAGTCACCATCACCACCATCACCACCAGCGACTCGAAAGAAGACAGCGACTGAGATCATGATGAACAAACTTTGGTCGTTCGCACGAGCAGGAAAAGAAAAACGAGATGAAATGCGAGCAACTGCAGCGGAGAAAATATCAGATAAACCCCCGGTGGCACTGTTGAAGAAGACGACAGAAAATCAGGCGGGTGCAAGATCACAGGCGGATGCACCTAGTCCTGAGATTCCGCCTAATCTGCAAGATAAGTTCCTGGAACAGGCCAAGGCATATCTCAAGGACCCAATCCAGAGGGCGAGACATTTCCCTGACCCTCCTGCTGTTCGTCGAGCCAGAGTGTGGGCAGGGGAGGAATTGGTGGACCATGAGATCAAACCCACAGTCGACGCTACGCTACCACCTTGGGCTGAAAGACATCGGCCTTTCAGTCAATGGCATAATTCGGTAAGTGCCTCATCCATTGAATCTTTTGAGAACCATGCCGATCATAATCAATTAGATTGGGATGACTCCTGTGCCTGCGGCACGCACGAACGTCTCGAGATCGAAAAGACGGAGTAAGGGACAAGGTAAAAGAAGGCCAAGACCAGCACCTGCAAAAGAGCAGTCAGTCAGTTCAGCCCGGTGGTCGTCGTTTAGATAAGTCTATTGTGTACCTACCTCCATAGTTTCGTAGTTGGAGTTTGGGATGTTCCCATGGTTGGCGAGCCGTTTAACTGGAGTTATATATATTTGGAGTTTAGGGTGTCTATGTCTTATCATTTCAATTTGTTGGTTTTTGGGGGGGGATACTTTTATTTGACCTTCATTATTCTCTAGTTGAGCATTCATTATATTCTTACGGCACTGGATTGGAGTGAAGCATATATGTTGTTCATTGTAACTAGATGTATATTCAAGTCTTTTTGTAGAACATGGCATCATCACAAGGCAACGCTTGGTTGCGCGGTGCTCAGATAAATGGTAGTAGCCAAATTAAAAGTCAAGAGACATGCACAGCTTGGTAAGTGAAAGAAATTTTAAAGGTGTTGAGCGAAGGACTCGATGTATACAATAGGTCCTATAGCATTGCTAGACGTCACGTGCAAACCGAACAAACAGCTCACCCGCCGTCTGGTATCTCTCGTCCTTGTTCGCGAATGTCGGATCAATTTGACACTCTGGGATAATGGATCAATCTTGGAACTGACTAAATACCTCGAGGCATACAGCTGCATTGATTGTGACCGATCTGTCGCCGCATCGCTGATCCAGAACAATCGCGGCTGCTAGGTTTGCCGTGAATAACGGCAGACTCTCAAGATGTTCACTTTCACTCCCCTCCTTGGCGCTCAGTCGTCATCTTCGAGGGCATCGCAATCTATCCTGGAGCTTGATGGAGGCATCAAGATCCTAGTGGACGTTGGCTGGGATGATAAGTTTAATACCCTTGATTTAGCGGAACTTGAGAAGTGAGCATGCGATTAACGCCTTTCGTTTGAATTCAGACGAGCTAATATTACTACTAGGCATATTCCCACACTTTCCCTCATTCTCTTGACACACGCGACGCCCGCCCATATTGGCGCCCTAGTTCATTGCTGCCGAACATTCCCCCTCTTCACGCAAATCCCAATCTATGCAACGAATCCCGTTATCGCTTTCGGCCGTACGCTCTTACAAGACCTTTATGCCTCTGCTCCGCTTGCTGCCACATTTCTACCGAAGGCTTCTGTTTCAGAGCCGGGCGCATCGTCAGCAGGATCTGCGACTGTGTCGGGCGGAGATACCGAAGACGCTGGCAGCACAAGCCGAATACTTCTTCAATCGCCGACAGCGGAGGAAATTTCTCGGTACTTCTCTCTCATTCAGCCACTCAAATATTCCCAACCGCACCAACCTCTCCCATCGCCTTTCTCCCCGCCGCTGAACGGGCTTACTCTCACAGCCTACAATGCCGGTCACACCGTCGGTGGAACAATATGGCATATTCAACATGGGTTGGAATCCATTGTTTACGCAATGGATTGGAACCAAGCTCGCGAGAGCGTAGTCGCGGGTGCTGCGTGGTTCGGTGGTTCTGGTGCCAGTGGAACGGAAGTCATTGAACAGTTGCGAAAACCCACGGCCTTGATCTGCAGTACAACTGGAGGCGATAAGCTGGCACCTTCCGGGGGTCGGAAAAAGCGGGATGATCTCCTCCTCGACATGATCCGAAGTAGCCTCGCGAAAGGTGGAACGGTTCTCATCCCTACAGACACAAGTGCACGAGTTCTTGAATTGGCCTACTCACTAGAACATTCTTGGCGCGATGCCGCAAGTGGTGACAAAGAGGATGTTCTTCAAGGGGCTGGGTTGTATCTGGCTGGCAAGAAGGTTACCAACACGATCCGACTCGCTCGAAGCATGCTGGAGTGGATGGACGAGAACATTGTCCGCGAATTTGAAGCGGCAGAAAGCACAGATGTCACGAACGGACAAAGGACGGGTGGACAGGACAAGAGCTCTACCAAGGGTGGGGGGCCATTCAGTTTCAAACATCTCAAGATCATTGAGCGTAAGAAGCGACTTGAGAAGCTGCTGGCAGAACCCGGACCCAAAGTGATCCTCGCATCCGATACATCACTAGACTGGGGTTTCTCAAAGGATGCGCTTCGACAGGTGGCCGAAGGACCGAACAATCTGTTGTTGCTGACAGAGTCATTCCGCAAGGATATAAAGACTGAAGACTCGAAACCATCACAGAGTCCGACAACAATTGGAAGCATGATTTGGGAATGGTACGAGGAACGAAGAGATGGTGTGGCTCTAGAGAAAGGATCAGATGGCGAACACATCGAACAAGTCCACAGCGGTGGACGAGAATTGTCTTGGACAGATGTGCAGCGAGCCCCTCTCGATACCGGGGAGCAGTTAGTATACCAGCAGTACCTCGCAACTAAGCGTCAACTTCAAGATACCTCTCAAACACTTGGCCAAGAAACTCTTGAAACTGCCGCGGATGCCCTCGATGATGGATCGAGCTCTACCTCTTCCGAGGACTCGGATCCCGAACACCAGGGTCGCGCGCTGAACTTTTCAGCCTCACTTGCACATGCCACTCGAAGCAAACTTGCCGTTAGCGACGAAGATTTGGGCATCAACATCCTTCTTCGTCGAAAGAATGTTTATGATTATGACGTGCGCGGCAAGAAGGGCCGCGAGCGCATGTTCCCTTACGTGGCACCGAGAAAGAAGGGAGATGAATATGGAGAATTCATTCGCCCAGAGGAGTATCTCCGAGCCGAAGAACGCGAAGAGATTGATATGCAACAACGGCGCACCGATGCCGAGACTAAACTTGGTCAAAAGCGACGATGGGATGATACCACCGGCCCCCATGGACGCAAGTTGTCTGGCGGCGCAGCCGGACGGAAGCGGCCTCAAATTGATGGCAAGAAGATCGATGATGATGATCTCAGCCTTGCCTCCGATGGTGAAGACGCCGATTTAGCTGCGGAGTCTGAAGATGAAGCAGACGGCCAGTCGTTCGAAGGCCCTGCGAAGGTTATCTATCATACGCAAACCATAACTATCAACGCTAGGATTGCCTTCATCGACTTCATGGGCTTGCATGACAAGCGCAGCTTGGAGATGTTAATCCCACTGATCCAACCTCAAAAATTGATCCTGGTTGGTGGCATGAAAGAGGAAACGTCAGCATTGGCAGCCGAATGCCAGAAACTGCTGACAGCCAAGCTCGGCGCTACGGTTTCTGACCCTGCGTTTGACTCGGCTGCCATTATCTTCACTCCGGCAAACGGTGAAGTCATCGATGCAAGTGTCGATACAAATGCCTGGATGGTCAAGCTGAGCAATACGCTCGTTCGACGCTTGAATTGGCAGCATGTCCGCAGCCTTGGTGTTGTTGCTCTTACGGCACAGTTGCGAGGACCAGAGCCTGCCGACATCGGGGAAATAGAAACCTCAGGCAAGAAGGTCAAGCAGCTGAAAGACGAAGCCGCCTCTTCTGCTGTTGCCCCAACATTGGAACAAGCAGACACAAAAATAATCGACAAGGTGGAGGTATATCCTTTACTCGACACTCTCCCAGCTAGCATGGCCGCAGGAACCAGATCTATGGCTCGCCCTCTTCATGTTGGTGATTTGCGATTGGCCGATCTTCGCAAACTGATGCAATCTGCTGGCCACACTGCCGAGTTCCGAGGCGAGGGAACACTTCTCATTGATAAGTGCGTCGCTGTGCGCAAATCGGGAACGGGCAAGATCGAAGTTGAAGCAACGGCGCAATCTTCGCTGGCTCGGCCTGGTGGCCGTGGAATAGGTAGCTTCCTTGCTGTCAAAAGGAAAATCTACGAGGGCCTAGCTGTTGTTGCAGGCAGCTAAGGCTATACAGATGGCATGTATTTCTATCTTTTCCTGGTGTATAATTTCATGATCAACAAAGCATTCATAGCCCCCTTTTTCTTATCAACACCAAGAGATTTATAATGAAGGAAGTTTTCTTCCAATAGTTTGCCCAAGTTTATGCCACATGTAGTATTCTATGCAAAAACAACATTATCATCGACGCACAATTTTAACCCGAAATCAACACAACCCATTTCTAAATGCCCAAAACTTCAAACAAGCAGAACGTAGTCTATATCTAATCCGTAATCTAAAAAATGAAACCACATATCAACGTGGTGTAAGAGACGAATATGCCATCTAAACAGTGATCTCGCCTGACTCTTCGGAATCATTGCCATCGTCCTCGGTGGGAATTTCACGTATGATATCATTGGTTTGAGGACCAGTGTATTTTCTGCAGAACGAAAGTAGAACATGTCAGTATCCACTTGAATCATGTTAGAAGTGTGGGTTAATCTTGGGTGTCTCTTACCCTCGAGCTTCAACCCACCACCACACCAAAGCAAAAGCGGCAATAAAGCCGCCAACACAGATGGCGTAGTTCCTAGACAGGACATGTTAGCATGCTTTTTCATGTCTGGACATCAATCGGGCTCAAGCGCCTTACATATTCGCGGGTGTCACAGGAAGCTGTGGCGGGAAGAAGAGGATTGTACTGATAAACAAGACCCAAACAATAGCAATGTAGTTAATAGGAGTACCCCATTTGCCGAGAGTAAAGGGGCCTTCAATGAATTTGACTTTCGATTTATAGAGCTGGTGGGCGAGAATGACAGACACATAAGACAGGTCTAGTGCCGGGGCAGTGATGTTGAAGATAGCGGTTGCTGTTTGCGTAGAGCCAATGGCGATGCAGTTCAGACATATGCTGAAGATAACCACGAACCACACTGCATTGACAGGGGTATGAGTGCGAGTATTAACCTTGGAAAGGAACCTATAATGTATCAGTGCTGAACTTGAATCAGGTGCAATGGTTGGAAGCATCCTACTTTGAAAATGGAAGCGCATCGTCTCGAGCAAAGGCGTAGGCCATTCTTGTATCTGCCAGCATGGCCGAACAACCTGTGAAGAATTGGACCAAAATGGCAAATGCCCACATGATTGTGCCACCTCGTTTGCCACCGGCATTGAGGAAGATTTGGGCTGCAGGAAGACCGGTAGGGGAG